CTGTGGGGTCCTTGTTGCTCTCTGAGCTGGGTTGTTTCCTTGCAGACGTTTCATGACCCAAAGTAGGTAACATAATAGAATGGAGTGGGAGGAGAAGGGGAAGGAAGGGAGGGAGGAGGAGGGGGAGGGAGGGAGGGAGGAAGAAAGATGTGGAGGAGGACTGTGGGGGCCCTTGGGCCTCTCTGAGTTTGGCTGTTTCCATGCAGATGTTTCGTGACCCAACTAGGGCACCTCATCAGTGCTGGAAGGGAGTGCGGTTTTACACGAGGAGGAGGGGGCGACAGTTTGTCCCCTGAGCTCCCCTGCCGGCCTTCCCACTTCCACTCGTCACTCACCAGATGCGATCTCGAGTCGCCCGCTGCAGCTTCCCATTCTCGTCCAAATATTGCTCGATGATCAAGTTCCCATTCGTGTCGTGGGCAGAGTTGAAGTTGGTCACCACACGAGTCGGGATCCCAAGACAACGGAGCACTGGGCAGACGGGGGGAATAAAACACCACGTTCAGCATCTCTCTCCGGCCGCTGTTCTGACCTGGGCCTCCCCAACAGCACAAAGCCCACCTCCTCGTCCCGATAAACCCCTTTTATTTAGAGTGAATTCCTCTCCAGCAAAGTCCCGGACAACAGTCTTTCAAGAGATTGCACAATTACAGACCTTTATCAGGCTTGGAGAGTTGCCAGGCCAATATCTTTCAGATGCCACACTGTAGCAGACAATACTTGGCAAGAATGGAGGAACAGGGAGGGATGGGGGGAGGGAGGAAGGAAGGAAGGAAATGGGAAAGACAGGAAGGTAGCAATAGCAGTTAGACTAATATGCCGCTTCACAGTGCTTTCCAGCCCTCTCTAAGCGGTTCACAGAGTCACCTCTTGCCCGCAACAGTCTAGGTCCTCATTTTACCCACCTTGGAAGGGTGGAAGGCTGAGTCAACCTTAGGAAGGAAGGAAGGAAGGAAGGAAGGAAGGAAGGAAGGAAGGAAGGAAGGAAGGAAGGAAGGAAGGAAGGA